ACAATCAGTGACGGAGATATTGACATCCTTGATGTCCGTCGTTTGCTAGGCCGCATGCAGGGGAGTACAACAATATCAGGAGGCAGGGCTCGTACGATAAGCCCCCAGCTATCAAGGCTGTCGTGTACACGGAAGACACGAACGTGGAAAGGGAAACGCAATGTCATGGTGAGTCCAAAAAGGGAACACATTACGGTGCGAAGCACTGATCGGAGGTGGCCGGAAAGGCAACCGTGGACGTTGACTGACCATCAACATACAATGTCGAAGGGCCCAATGTCGTTGTGGTCTTCAACGTCCATATCTTGGCAACGGCCATCTCTTGGCAAATGAATCTTGGCCGATTGCCGATGCACTTTGTGCAAAGTCGGCTGGTATCAATCGCTGGTGTTGTTAGAGTCGTTCCCGACAAAAAGGGAACCATAACAGAAGGCAGTAACAGCAGGGAAGACGTATGGTTCTGCAAAGACAGTGAGGCGAATATGAGATGTTGGATTGCTTGTACAGTGTCCAATCGAGCAACAACGGAATGGGAAGGCGCCTGGAAGGACGAAAAGCTCCAAGCAACGCAGGAGGCCATCAACGCTTCAACTACAAGCACATCAAGCATTGAGCAATGAGCAGAGCCTCTCCGTCCACAATCGACATGGACGAAACGGGCAAGTCGAGCCGAATTAGAGACATAACGCGTCGCAGTCCAAAGCCGGGACCAGCATGGCGATGGTCGACAAAGTGCGTATCTCTATCGCGCCATGCGTGTAAGTGGTCTCTTGCGGGGTCCTCTCCACGAATCGCAGAGTAGCGCCTTATCAGTAGGACCAACCGTGTTCCCTGATCCCCGTCCGGGCTACAGCGCCGTTTAGGAAGGTTCTCAACATAAGCAAGGGTGCTGAAGGGCTTCTGCTTTTGACGGCAGGCCAGACCTGGGTGAAGGATCGCAGTGGGCCGAAACGGCCCTAGATTCTGAACGGCGAATCCCATGAACGCGATGCTAGCAGACACAGCTCTCCGCTTCGAAGCTCTGATATTGTATTAGGCTTCATGAACTGCTCCATGAACTGAACCTCGCTCTCTTGGGCATGTCCTGCCGACGTGACCACGATGTCTGCAAGCTCAAACTCCATGAGTATGAACAGTTCATCCGATAACAAGACGAGACGATGCCGCAACCTCTCGCCGCTCCAGAAATTACCTCCCATTTGGATCAGACAGGACTCCGTCACCATCATTGGCATCTCGGCAAGAGCTGTCCATATCTGGCAGGGCCAGCCGACACGTTTCAAAACAAAATAGACATTCACAAATGTGTCCAAACAATAATATGACAAGATATATACCCGTAACTCCATTATGCCAAGTATACGTTTCCTCCTTATAATCCTGATCAGACACGCTGTAGCCCTGTAACGCCTTCCATGAAAACAAAACGGTAAACAATACTCTGTAAAAGTACAGTGCTGTCCAGCACACTAGATTTCGCTCTTCGTCCTATCCTACTGGAAGAGGATCAGGGGCCACTGCGCCGAGTGCGTGTTCATGTCGGCCGGCTGCGCCTGCTGCGGTTCCACGGGACCCAGCGTCGTGACGCCTGGGCCGACCGGGACCATCATGTTGGCCATGCCGACGCTCGTTGTCGGTTCGCCGTTGCCGATGGTGCTGCCGTCGAGCACGGGGACACCGTGCATGGGCGGCACCGATGCCACCGATGCCACCGATGCCACGGGCGCGAGGCGCTGGTGCAGCATGCTCAGGTCCAAGAGGGCGTCGGCGCTCGTGAAGCGGTCGTCGTTGGACTGCTGGCTGTCGGCAATGGACGCGGTCCAGTTGGTCCAGGGGTTGGCGGGGGCGCCGAGGGCCGAGGACGTAAAGGACATGAGGGGCTGTTGTTGTTGGTGTTGGTGTTGTTGCTGGGCATGCTGCGCATGCTGTTCATGCGATGACGGCTGCGGTCCTTGCTGCTGTGCGTGCTGGTCGTAGCCCAAGGCCGACGTCGTGACAAAGTCGTCTGTCGTGGCCGGGATCATGGACGGGTGGAATGCAGGGTGCTGTTGGTGTGCTGGCATTTGTTGTTGTTGGTGTTGTTGTTGTTGTTGCTGCTGCTGCTGCTGTTGCTGCTGCTGCGCTGGCGGTGGTGGCTGCGACTGCGGAGGCGGCTGGGCCGCGGGCGACAGCTGGCCGCGTCCCTCGAGCTTCAGCCGCGCCTGCGTCTCGAGATGCAACGCCACACTGTCGACGTTGCTCGGCGGTGAGTGATGCCCGTTGCCGTGGCCGTGGCCATGGCCGTGGCTGTGGCCGTGGCCGAGGTCGTAACTGGCATGCTGGGACGAGGGCCGGCCCCCCGGTGCTGGCCCACCACCGGCCGTCGGTCCCGGCAGCAGAGCCGCCGGCACGCCATTGACAGGCCGTCCGCGCCCTTGAATGGCGCGCGCGTTGCTCGCCATGACGGCATGCCGCGCCGCCGCGGGCATGTCCTGGAGAATGCCGAAAATGGTGCGCGCGCAGATCTGCGTCAGCTTGCGGTTGAACGGCTGGCCGTTGTCGCGGGCGCCGGTCAGCAGGCCGATCTCGGCAATAATGGACAGCCAGATGCTCGTCTCGTCCTGCAGGCGCTCCATGTCGTCGGCCGTGGCCGTGCGGCGGCGCTCCCAGGCGGCGGCCAGCATGGAGAACATGGCGGCGCAGTACACCGACATCTGGTACCAGGTGGTGTCGAGCGACTTGAGCGCCAGCAGCTTCTGGACGTGGCGCAGCAGCGTGCGCGCCGTCTCCTCGCAGATGCGCGTGTTCTCGGCAAAGACCTGCGGGTCGGTGGTCATGCAGGCCGACGGGTGGTGCAGGCACAGCTGGAACTCGAGCGACACGGCCTGCGCATAGAGCGCGTACATGAGCGACGCGGGCTTGCACTGGTCGACGTGCAGCTCGGGCGGCAGGCGCGCCTGGATGGCGTGGTACTGCGCCTCGAGGTCGCGCACGAGGGGCGCGTAGCGGCGCGGGTCGCGGCGGACGCCGTAGAGGTGCGAGAACATCTCCATGTACAGCGGCGTGTACTGCATCGCGTGCAGGCCGACCAGAAACGTGGCCTCGCCGACCATGGCCGGGTCCGTGATGCCCTGCTCCGTCAGGTACTCGTCGTTGATGGCCACGGGCAGCTCCGTGTCAAAGTCTTCGACGCGAAGGGGGAGGGGCCGGCCCAGCCGGCCGTTGAGCGTCGCCGCCATCATCAGGGAGCACCACCAGGCGCGCTTGCGCATCTCGTTGGTGAGCGTCGTGCGCGCGGCGGGGAGGCCGGACGAGCGGTGCAGGCCCAGGTCGATGGCCTTGGTGAGGGCCGCCATGGCAACGGTCGAGCCGCAGCTCGGCTTGGGGAAGGCGCGCGTGTAGAGCGTGATGAGCACGAGGGCCTGGACGGCGGTGACGGAAAAGTCCGAGGCAATGTAGTAGAACTTGGAGAGGGACCAGTGGTAATGCTTGTTGGACAGGTCGTGCAGGTGAATCTGGCGCGCCAGCTCCTCGCGGTTGCGCACGCCGTACTGGAAGTAGATGATGGAGAAGACCATGTGCACAATGACCAGCTCGGATGTCGTCGGCGTGAACTTGGGGTCGTCGTAGATGCGCGTGAGCAGCGTCAGGTAGGTCGGCTTGTGCAGGATGGGCGCAAACGGCTGGACCATCAAGAAGTACCACTCCGAGTACTCAAACGCGTCGGACCGCGACGGCAGCTCGACGCTGTTGTCCAGCGGCGGGTTGATGTTCGTGGCGGAGCGCAGGAACGAATTGAGCGAGCGGTTGTAGAGGCCCGTGGGCTCGCGGTAGATGGCAGACGGCTCCGGCTCGTGGCCCGTGTCGGCGGCGTCGATGTCGAGCAGCGTGCCGAGGATGGAGACCTGTGTGCCGTTGACGGAACTGAGCGGCGCTCGGTCGGCGTAGACGCCCAGGTAGCTGTCGACGGGGCCCGACTGGAGAGCGGACGTGGGCGACGCGGGCGCGGGCGTGTAGGCGTATGTGTACGTGGGCGTGTTGGGCGTCGAGACGGAGGCGGTGGTCGACGCGGCCCGGCCGGCCGAGACGAGAGAGGTGGTCGTCGCCGAATGGGAGGCGGCTGCATTCGTGTTCTTGGCGGCGCCTGGCGCCGGCCGCCACCAGACAGAGCCCATGTAAGTCCACAGCCGCCTGTCCTGTGCGCCGCCGTGTGCCCCGTCCTCGCCGGCGTCGTGGTTGCTGTCGGCGTCAGCACTCTCGCTGTCCTCGCCCTTGACGTTCACAACACGCCCCTCGCTGTCCAGAGCCATTCCAGGCGGGCAGACCGGCGCGTACGGCGACCACCGCCACGGCAGCACCTCGACGCCGCCCTTGTCCTGCAGCAGCGACTGCAGCTGCTCAATGTGCCGCGCCATGGCCGTCTTCTCGCGCTCCAGCTCCTGCAGGTAGCCGCGTCGCTCGGTGCGGCCGGAGATGCGGTCGGTGACGTAGCACTCGAGGTTCTGGCTCAGGCAGTGCGAGCAGCCCTCGGGCAGGGCGTCGCAGCGGATCTTGCGCACTTTGCAGCGGTCGCAGGCCTGGCCGGTGCGGGTGTAGGACTGCAGCTTGTTCTTGACGACGGAGGAGAAGTCGGGCGCGTAGGACGAGGCAGTCGCGCTGTCGAACTTGGCCTGCTTGGTCCGCGCCGACGATGCATGGGATCCTGATCCTGGCTCCGACGACACGCCTGGCGCGCCATCGTCGTCGTGGGCCCGCTTGGGGGCCCGCATGGCGTCCATTGTGTCGCAGATGGACGGGAGGGGGAGGTGGGAGCGAGAGAGAGGGACAGAGTGAGGAACGGAGAGCCAGTGACAAACTCTGGAAATCGGAGGTGTCGATGCGATGCGTCTCGATGCTATGGCTGGAGCGCAGCCATCGCTTGGGCCCCGGCCGAGCGACGAGAGGGCCGGTCGTCGCAGTCGTTGGTCCGTAGACAGCGTCGAATGGTCGAATGTAGGTCGTGGTCGATCGGCGTACAGTCGTCAATTTGGTCGTGTCTTGGATCGCTGTCCGCTGAAGAAAAGGAGATGGTGTTGGGCAGAGTGAGGATTGGCACGGCTGAGGAAAGTGCCTGCAGATTGGCGGCAAATGCCGTTCTTGGAAGGAGCCGCTTTCCAGGCGCGCTGCTCTGGGCCGTGGGTGGGCATGTGCGCTGCGGGCTCAGTGGGTTTAGGGGCGAGCCAAGATGCTAGCGGCTTCCACACAGGCTTCAATAGGGGGCTAATGCCAGTGCCAGATACCTGGGCCGAAAAACCTTTTAAACTCTGCCTCGTATCGGGAATTAGCGTTGAAAGCCCCGAAAGTCCTCCACAACGAGCAGTGTCAAGACGTTGTTCGAGAGCAGGTCCTAGGCTTTCACATACAGTTTGCAGGGACTTGTAAGTATCGAAAATGCCGTAGATTTTGCTACGATATGGTCGGTCCATTTTCAGGCAGTGATCAAAGAAGTATGTAGTATTTACACATCTAGGGCACTGTATTCCGCACAGTATATTCACTGTGCGGAGATTTCCGATCTCAGTACCTGTGCCACCTGTCTCGAGCCGTAGCACATGCCAAAGCCATTTCTGGCCTGTCTCAACTGCCTCCAAAAGACTACATGCAATGACGACGATACGGGCAAAAACACAAAACGTCCTACAAAAATACAACAACGTACAGCAGCGGGTATTCGCTGGTCGTCACCGACCCAACTACTAATCCGCCGATTACTGGCTTGACTAAGGGAGAGCAGACGGGATCCCGTATTCTCCAGTATCTGTGGCCGTACGTGGAGAGAGGGACTCATTTCGGGGCTGAAATACTGAGTCCCGCTCGGAAATATGGGCAGATGTGATGATTTCGTCTCGATTGGTACGAGAAAGTAGGCAATGGTGCCTACCGTAAGCTTTGCTTTGAGATAGGTGAAGTGTACATGTATAACAAAACCGATATACAAACTATGCCGAAACCGAAAAAGTATCAAACGTCGCCAATGTTAAGTTACATGTATATAAAATAGACAACCTATGTATACACACTGTCTTTTTACAGTCTTTTCAGTCATCTTAGACCTCCCCTAATATCCTTTTCCAATCTTGGTAAAGTCCCGCGGTAACTAAATTATCAGGGACGTAAGTGGCGTCTGTTTTTGGCATCCGTAGGGGAAGCGGCTGGCAGCCTTCTCACGCCGCCCGGTTCCTCTCACCCGCGGCTCACCGGTTCGCATGCCTCTATTTGTGCCGCAACGCTGCTGCCAAGGTGGCCACGAGACGGCTGGACATGTAATGAAAATTGCAACAAAAGAAGCCGTAAAGTGCAATGGGTGGCTACGACCTTGCTGCCACAGCGTTTGCCGCGCTTGAATTGGCGCCTAGAATCTGGGGAACGTGCGCTAATGTTCACTAACTGGGAGGACATCGTGACGGCGATCCGAAGAGGAGATGGAAACATGATACGATGTCTCAGGGTATGTGTCTGTCTTCATTTTGTGTTCCTTTTCGGTGAGCTATTATGTTCCAGTTTTGACTTTGCTTCGGCTGTGGAGTTATGTGCCGTCCGTGAACGAGTTGCACCTGATTATATCTGGTCTTCGTAATCAGCTACAACCTGGACGGCATGTTCTCCTGCCTCCGTGGCCACGGCTCCTGGACAGCCTCCGGCTCGTGATGGCCATGGACTTGTGCTGCAAAGTCCGGCTGGGGCATGCAAACGCGGGGCCATGCACATACGTCGCGACAGCCCTACATGGGTCAACATCGTTCTCGAAGATCTCGTGGCTGTTCATGACAGCCTCCTCGAAAGCTTGCCGTACTTTGGCAGCTCACTTGCGCCGGCTGCGACCATCTTACTACACCCGAGCCTAATCGATCGCCCTCGCCATCCCGACTCTACAATTCCTCCGCGTTGCCAACAAACTGTTGCAGGTCACCGTGTAAGACCACCTGGCCTACGCGGTTGGCCGTCTGAGACGTGGTAACGGTGACGGGTAGCAGAGTGTACACGGACAACCGGCTCGAGCAGCTCGAAGAGGACGTCGAACTGTTAAGTGCGCCCTGATTAATGATTAAAAAGACCACGGCAGAATCCACGCCAGGATTGGGAACAGAGAAGATTAAGAATAGGAAAAAGCAAAGGCAAAGCAAGCGCAAAGGCGAACTTTGTCTTGCTATCAGCTGTCCACAGACCAACAAATGGAGAGGTCGAATGCCATTGAACCAATATGATTGGGCATTGTCCCTTTCACCAATAAATAATTACCTTGATGGCTTCAGGAACCTCACTGCTCCTGTTCGTTGTGTCTCCGTCTGCCTGTCTTCTTGAAAAGCCCCTTAACTTCAGTATACTCCCCTGTATGTCACCCAATCTTGCCTAGTATGGAAATGGCCATTTTACTGCGTCAAACGACCACCCAAGCACTGCCGCAAGTGACTTCAGGGGCCCCATTCCAGGCCGGAATAGGCAACTGAGCATTGCTTGTTCGGGGGGTTTCGTCCACTGACCGTCGTCCGGTCGGCCATTTTTGCCGCGTCCGGCGCTGGGGCGCTGTGGCGCTGGCCCCAGCGCGCGATGAACCGCTGTCCAGCGATCTCCGATACGTTCTGGGGAAGTCATTCATTTCACGGGGCATTTTCCAGATCCCCTCGATCACACACAACTTGCAAGAATCAAAACACAGCAAACGAGGCGACAAAGGCGAGTAAGGTGGCAAAACACTCTGCCGACCACGACTGCCGTACACAATGCGCTTTTCTTCTCGTGCAGCCATCGCAGCTTGGCTGCTTCAGCTGCTCTCCGCGCTGCCGACCGCCTCGAGTCTCCGGACCTGGCAGCCGATCCGAGAGCTGCAAAAACAAATCCGGGAGGATGGGCCTGGCGAGCCGTCTCTCGCGACACGCGACCTACCTGCGTACCCCGTCTACAACCTCTCGGTCCCCGTCGACCACTTCCACAACGACTCCCGCTACGCGCCGCACGTCAACGACACGTTCCCGCTGCGGTACTGGTTCGATGCCTCTGCCTACCAGCCGGGCGGACCCGTCATCGTGCTGGCTGCCGGCGAGACCAACGGGGCCAATCGCCTGCCCTTCCTCCAAAAGGGCATTGCTGCCCGTCTCGCACAAGCCACCCACGGGCTGGCCGTCGTGCTCGAGCACCGGTACTATGGCGAGAGCGTCCCGTACGGCAACCTGTCCACCGCCGCCCTCCGCTTCCTGCACACCGACCAGGCCATGGCCGACACGGCGTACTTTGCGACCCACGTCGTGTTTCCTGGGCTCGAGGATGAGGATCTGATGCCGCATGTGGGCGCGCCGTGGATCGTGTACGGCGGGTCGTACGCCGGCGTCTTTGCGGCCTTTTTGCGGGTGCTGTACCCGGACGTGTTCTGGGGCGCGATTTCGTCGTCGGGCGTGACCGTGGCCATCCACGACTACTGGCAGTACTACGAGGCACAGCGGCTGTTTGGGCCGCAGGAGTGTGTACAGCGGACGCAGAAGCTGCTGCACGTGGCCGACCAGATCTTGTTGGCGGGGCGGCAGGCCCTCGACAACGAGGGCGATGGCCGTGGCGGTGGCCACGGCGATGGCGACGACAGTCACGACGACATCTACGAGGAGCAGCCAGTGGGCCAGGTGCCACTGGCCGGCGCTCTCGGCGACACCCCGGCCGACCTTGTCGCCAAACTCAAGGGCGTTTTTGGCCTCAGGAACATGACGTACGACGACGACTTTGCCTCGGTCCTGAGCGACGCCCTCGGCGGCTGGCAGGATACAAACTGGGACCCGGCCGAGAACAATCCGAACTTTGGCTGGTACTGTACCAACGTCACGGCCGACGAGCTGCTGTACCCGGACGTGGCCGACCGCCGCGGTGCCGTGCGCGACCTGATCCAAGCAACAAGCTATGGCGCTGCGTTCGACGCCCTCGAGCTGCCGTTCCTCAACTTTATCGGTTGGGTGCATGCGACACACCCGTGCAATGCCACCGAGCGCACGCAGGACCAGTGCTTCACGAACCGTAACAGCACATTCTTCCGGCAGGACGACAGCACGCAGCGCTGGCGGGCCTGGACGTACCAGTACTGCACGCAGTGGGGCTACCTGGCCACCGGGTCCGGCGTGCCGTCGGACCAGCTGCCGCTCATCAGCCGGCTCCTCGATCTCGACTACCTGTCCATCATCTGCCGCGACGCCTTTGGCATTGACGCGCCGCCGGACGTCGAGTCGGTCAACAAGCTCGGCGGGTACGACATCCGCTTCCCGCGGCTGGCCATTGTGGACGGCGAGGCCGATCCGTGGCGTGCGGCGACACCGCACGCGCTCGGGGTGCCGGACCGCGTGTCGTCGACCGAGGAGCCGTTCCTGCTCATTCCGGGCGCGGTGCACCACTGGGACGAGTACGGCCTCTTTGACAACGAGACGACGGCCGACCTGCCGCCGAAGACAGTCCGGGACGTGCAGGCAGACGAGGTGGACTTTGTCACGCAGTGGGTAGCGGACTGGCAGGGACAGAATCCGGGCGACGACGGGGGGGTGTAAATATAAGTGAACCTGTTTTTCGTAAGCGTACGCATAAGCCGGCGTTTGGGATTGTTTTGATTTTTTTATTTTGTCGACTTTTTTTTATCGTTACCGAATACCGGTTCGCATTACGACTGCAGTCAGCAACATGTTATGCAAGAGAAAGCTCTTAAATGTAATAATTGGTGTTCAAGTAAACCAGATTTGGGTGGGAATAAAACTAAATAATGTACAGCATTGGGATGGATTGTCCCCTAATTTCGGGTCAGCATGCCCTTGAAACATTTTCATAGCGAGTGTAAGAAAGGAAGAAAAGAAAAGTAGGAAAAGAAGGACCAGAAACGAGTGCCAATGCCATGAACGCCAACCGTCGTGCGCCGTCGAGGGTAACTAAGAAGACAATAATACCTAAGAACCAAAAGAAGAACAGCAAGCTAAGAAAATCAAATCAAACTCGCTCGATGCAAAATACCAATTTTAACAGACGTGCCGTGTAAGCCCTTCCGCCGCTCACGACAGCGAGTTCCACTTGCCGTTCTCCGACATGTTGGTGCTCAGCCACCCACACGCCAGCAACAGACTGGACAGCATCAGCAGCGTCAGGATGCCGGCGCCGGCGCGGTCGGCCGTGGTGACGGGCCCCAGCAGGCCGTCGCGCACGCCCGTCGTGTCGAGGCCGGCGGCCGGGTTGCCCTTGCTGGTGGCGCCGGTGCCGTTGGCAAAGGGCGGGTGCACATAGGCCTGGTCGACGAGCAGGCTCGAGAGGGCGGCGAGGGCGTTCATCTGCTGGCCGGCGCCGGTCATGCCGTCGTAGGCGCCGGTGGTCCAGCGGAAGCCGCAGACGCCGGCGCTGTCGCACGACTTCATGGCGGCGGCGGTGGACTTTTTGAGGGCGGGCATGATGATGTCGTGGACAAAGGGGGCGATCTGGGTGGTGGCGGCCATCCAGCGGTGCAGGAAGCCCTTGAAGGTCAGCATGTCGGTGGTGCACTGGATGCGGTCGGGGAGCTCGCAGGAGATCTCGACGGCGCCGCCCTGGTCAAAGAAGAGCTTGACGGCGCGGTTGGTGAGGCCGAGCACGCGGTTCTTCCAGAGCGTCGATCCGTTGGTCTGTGTGTGTCAGTACAAACAAGCACAATGAAAAAAAAAAAAAAAAATTCGCCACGAGTGTAGTTGTTCGGCATTGCACGTACATAGTTGTACATAAAGGCCGCGCCCTGCAGATAGACGGCGGCGTTGTACGTAAACTGCGCCTTGGCAATGTCGGTGCAGTTCTTCTCGACGTGCGCGCCGTCGTAGATGTCGTAGTTGGACGACATCAGGCCGACGCCGGCGACCCAGTCCCAGGTCTTGATGGCCTCCTGCGCGTACGTGTCGTTCTTCGTGTAGCGCGCCAGCCGCGCGCCCATGTTGAAGAAGATGCCGTTGGCAATGGAGTTCTTGTAGTCGTAGCCGTTGTTCGTCAGCGGGATCTGCCAGCGCATGCCGCCGCCGCACGTCTGGTCGTGGCGGTCGGGCGCGGCCTGCGTGTTCCACACGGCCTGGGCCAGGGCGAGCCACTGCGGCTGGTCGTCGGGCGGGTTCTGGAAGTTGGACTCGGCCGCGAGCATGGCCGACAGGCCCCAGAAGCCCTGGTCATCGTTGCCGAGCGAGGCCGTCCAGTTGGGCGGCATGTAGCAGTTCTGCGGCGGGCCGGTCTGGAAGAGCAGCGCAGTCTCCGTCATGTTGTTGTACTGCGTGTCCTGCGTGTAGCGCCAGTAGTCGATGAGCGTCCCCCACATGGCGCCGCCCTCCCACCAGTAGTAGTCGCCGTTGGGCGGCGGACCGGGCAGGATGCCGGGCACCCAGCCGGGTTGGTCGCCGTGGTAGTAGGTCAAGAGCTGCTTGGCAAGGACCTTGCAGGCGGCCTTGATGGAGGCTGTGGAGGTTAGGATGTTAGGATGGTGGACGGAGCGACGAGGCGAAACACACAGAAAACAAACCTGGCGAGTTGAGGTCGACATCAAGGGCCGTGACCGTTGGCGCGAGAAGCGCCGTCGCGAGACTGGCGGCAGCGGACGTGGAGAACCTCATGGCTGTGGGATGGCCGGCGGTGGCGACGAGCGGTATATTACGAACAACAAGTCGATAGACGTGAAAGAATCGTCTTGGAGTAAATTGGTGAGAATAGAAGGCGCGCAGGATTGCCGAGGGAAGAAAGAGTGACTGGATGAACGAGTGACGGTTATGAGTTGGACAGGCGCATGGGCATCCCGGACGGCAACACGATCGAGAGAGGTGTCACGGTGACAATGAAAGAAAAAGAAAGAGTAAAGAACGAAAGAGGTTTACAGAGTACGTACAACACACACCAAAAGAGAAAGCAGGATGGAAGGCACGACGAGGTGCTGACAGGAACGCCCCCAAAATGCACTGACCGACTCGGGCGGTCTTGGCCGTCCATCGTCACTCTCGTTTGCAGTTGTCCCATGCCTATTTCGAGAGAAGAGGGCCCTCCACGAAAATGTGAACAAAACTGGGGATGACAGCACAGGTGTGCCATCCGAGTCAAGCGGCTGTGAGCAGCGAGGATCGACTACAACAGACAGGGACGTTTACGCCGCACACGAGTGGGCAGAGACAGGAAAAGCGCGCCCTAGGATGGGAGGGAGGTGCCGGAAAAGCCAAAATGAACCAAAGAGTCAGAAAAGGGGGGGATGGGGGGAGGAGACGCCAGCGTCAACACGAGGTCTTGGCACGCGACCACGATTGTCCAGTGCAGGTTGGAGGGTGGCAGCGAGACGCAGAGTGGGAATGGAACGCAGTCACGGGAAGCATTACACAGTAAGTCAACATGAATAAGAACGAAAAGCACAGGGGTTCATTTGGAGGCGAGTTGTCGACACACGTCGACAGCGACCATGCAGACATGGCACGAGTCGTTCGCTGCCGTTTTCTGTGTAAACAGTTCCGAAGTACAAGGCAACATACTCCGTACACCAAAAAAACAGAAACACGCCATGACACTACTGCAAGCTTGATGCGGGACGACAATGCCAACCCAGGACAAGCACTTGTCCAAGAACGCCATGCCAGAGAAGCATTTGAAAGTATGTTGTTCTCCGGCCTCGTACAGACGACCATGAGACTTGAGAAACAAAGGGAGAACGAGTCGTGTCGACAAACCCAAAATGTGCAAGTACAGAATAAGCTTGCCCGACTTTGACTTCCCGGCCCACACCTCTCTGGACCCCTGCCTTGCCCATCCTGCTGCCCCGTTTTTTTTTCCTTTTTGGTTGTTCTGACTTGTCCACTCTCTCTATTCTTTTTGTGGTCTCTTTCCTTTCTCCCTGTCAATGCTCCCTCTCGTGGGTGTCCAGACTTGAGTCCAATAAAAGCGTTGGCTGTCACCCAGTCTGGTTAGCTTCAGCCTTGGCGTTATGCAGGGGAAATAGGCCAACAGCTCGACGAAGAGACGTGAGGCTCTGGCAGGGCAAAATAAAATACTCGAAAAACGCCAGTTGGGGAGTCGACAGAGGATGTTTTTGGGAAGAGAAGAGAATGCGCAGACATAAAAAGAGAGTCCTTCTCTTGGCCGCCGTATTCAAATCGACACATCTTGCCTCACGATCAAAATCATAAATACGAACTCACCGCCCATACATCCAAACCGACTCAAATTAAACACGCCTGCACATTCGGGCACGCGTTTGCCAAGGGGGGCTGTGCTGAAAGAATAAAAAAACTCGGACACCAGACGAACTGACCTGAATTCTCCGCACCACAACAGTTACTTGAATATTCTCCGGCCTCCATTGTCTTTCTTATTTTGGTGCCACTTCCAGCGACCCGGTTCAGGGGCTCGCCTGCTTTGGTGTCGTTTATTGCTGTAAATTGCACCCGTCCTCTCGCGCCTTGGCAAGGAAACAATGCTGGAGCGGGCACGAAAACAAATAATATCCTTTCCAGAAACCGTGCAGTCGGACACTCATGAAGCATCGCATCACAACAAGCAACAAACATCAAAGGTTTGTCATTCGCTATTTTGATCCGTCGATCAACCAGGGCAGGAGGTTGTTCAGGACCAACAACTGTTCCGGCACTTTCTTCCCTCTACTGTCGATCCGCTAAAGTCAAGTGTTTTTTTTGTTTTTGTTTTTGGTTTATTTTACACTGCTTTATGTTTCCTCGGCTTACCCCGGATTTTCGATCTTCTTTTTCGCCTGGTCCTCGTTTTTCCACTCGCGACGGACCATAACCGACGCTCTAAAATAAAGTTTTCGCCACGTCGCACGACATTTGCCCAGAACGACAGCAACAAAATAGGATGGCAATGCATAAACAGGTCTACAATTATCTACTTCGTACAACAAAGACATACTCCGTACCTTTTTGACATGGTACTGTACCGATATACTACAGAAAGCGATGTACCAACAGCCACGTCCACATGCAATCCTCAACTCATCTCGAATGCTCTCCGTAGTAGTCATCTCCATTCCTCAGTGTCAATAAAGAATAATTTTTATATTAAAGTGGCGTTAGATGCTAAAACACCTATTGACTATTTAAAAATATTGAAACGTGACTCTATTAAACTAATTGTTCTTTTTATTTAGTTTAATAATTCAACATTTGTTTGTACTTGAATATTTCTTTGTACAATCCACGTCAAAACCTAATAATTCACACGATTAAAAATATGAATTCTATTAAATATCCCTTCTCAATAATAGCGAAATAAACTCAAAGAAGTACTACGTAATGCTGAGCCTTCTCATCATAATGAGATGCCACTACTAAGATTAGTCACCTGGCCCACTTTTGTAGAGCCGAAATCCACCACGAAAAATTTCAGCGACGAAAAACTTCTTCAATTCAGCAAACCGCAACACAGCGCAGCACGACGACAACACGACAACGACGGCCGTCTTCGCGATGCAACTGCATGTGGTAGATTATAAACTGCTGCAGCGGAAAGGTAAGGGTGCATTCGCACGTGTCGTAACAATATCGGATCGCGGGCGTCGTTGTCGTATCATATCTCTCCTGCCGCTTCATGTCCTTCACCTTCCCTCAATTCCCTACACCTCCGCAGTTCTCCAACCAGCCAGTACAGTGGCTCTCGAGCCTCTTTCTTTCACCTGCGCCGTCCTGGCGGTCACACTCCTGTGGCCAACGGGCTTGTCCGGCTTGCGCGACGTTTTGTCATGCTGCCGGACGAGGGTTGGTTCAATGGGGAGCATGCTATTGTTTCTCGTCAGAGAGCAGAGCGTGTTTTCGCTGCCAGATCAAACGCATCAAGGACCATCATAGTCCGCGCCCGCACCGCCGAAACGGTCTTGGAGAGGGCAAACTCGACAGCGATGTTGGTTTGCTTCTCTTTCTTCGCGGGCGAGGCTCCAAGCGTTCCAACATTTGTAAAACGTGCTGTGTCTATTGCTCTTTCCGTCTCATCTCTTCTGGCGGTTGCACTTTCCTTTGCAGCCGCTGTACCTGTTTGGCCAATTGGGTGCGGCAAGGCCCACACATTGGAGTATCGTAGCTTCCCCATTAGTGCCCGCAGTTGCTGTATCGATATCGCGTAGCGTATCCAATACGTCATCCCGCGGTGGGTAGGTACGCAACGTCAAGTAACTGTTTCTGATCAACAACGTCTGTTGGTCCTCTGACGTTTGTCCGCGCGGTCATTGCCGTGTATACCACACAAGGTACAGCACCTCGTGCTTTTCGTGCTTTTCGTGTTTTTCTTCCATCGGCGTCTGTCAATCCATCTGCTCAAAGCCGCTCCAAGAATGCCGTATCGCCCCGCCGGCCAGACGTTGCTGACTCGCGCTAGTGTCCAGATTCAGGCACAAGTTCAGGGCTGTTTACAGCCGCGACGATTCTCACGACACTTGCACGGGCAGCTGTCTTCGTTCTCGTCCTCCACACGCAACATGTCCCACGAAAGCCGCTTCGGCAACCTCCCACTGAGCGTGCGCGGCCCCATGGACTGTGCCCTCCGCGGCACTGTCCTGCTCAACCACTCCATTTTTAACAAAGGCTCGGCCTTTCCGCCTGACGAGCGCCGCACCTTTGCGCTGAATGGCCTGCTGCCGGCCGGCGAGCAGACGCTGGAGCAGCAGGTGCACCGCGCCTACGAGCAGTACAGCACGCGCGCCGACGACCTGGCCAAGAACACGTTTCTGACGTCGCTGCACGACCAGAACCACGTGCTTTTCTTCCGGCTGGTGCAGGACCACCTCGACGAAATGTTTTCCGTCATCTACACGCCGACCGAGGGCGACGCCATCCAAAACTACTCGCGGCTGTTCCGCCGGCCCGAGGGCTGCTTCCTGCGGATCGACGACATTGACGGCGTGTTTGACGCGCTGGCGCAGTGGGGCACCGCCGAGGACATTGATTACATCGTGGTGACGGACGGCGAGGAGATTCTGGGCATCGGCGACCAGGGCGTCGGCGGCGTGCTCATTTCGCGGGCCAAGCTGATCCTGACCACGCTCTGCGCCGGCATCCACCCGAACCGCACGCTCGGCGTCGTGCTGGATTGCGGCACCGACAACCAGCAGCTGCTGGACGACGCGCTGTACCTGGGGCTGCGCCAGCGGCGCGTCCGCGGCCAGCAGTACGACCGGTTTGTCGAGGCCTTTGTGCGCGCGGCGCGCCACCTCTTCCCGCAGGCCTACATCCACTTTGAAGACTTTGGCCTCGACAATGCGCGCCGCCTCCTGGACACGTACCGGCCGCAGATGGCGTGCTTCAACGACGACGTCCAGGGCACGGGCTGCGTGACGCTGGCGGCCATCCTGTCGGGCCTGCACGTCAGTGGCGAGCACCTGGACGACCTGCGCATGGTCGTCTTCGGCGCCGGGTCGGCGGGCGTGGGCATTGCCGACCAGGTGTGCGATGCCATCGCGTCCAAGAAGAAGATCAGCCGCGCGGAGGCGGCCAAGCAGATCTGGCTGATTGACAAGCCGGGCCTGCTGACGACCGAGATGGCCGAGCAGAAGAAGCTGTCCAAGGCGCAACAGCTGTTTGCCAAGGACGGCGGTGCATTCAAGACGTCGTCGAGCGACCGAAACAGCAGTAGCAGCAGTATTGGCTTGCTGGATGTCGTCAACACCATCAAGCCCAACGTCCTCGTCGGCACCTCCACCAAGCCCAAGGCCTTCACCAAAGACATCGTCCAGGCCATGGCCAGCCACGTCGACCGCCCCATCATCCTGCCGCTCTCCAACCCGACACGTCTTCACGAGGCCGTGCCCTCCAACTTGCTCGAATGGACCGACGGCCGCGCCCTGATTGCCACAGGCTCGCCCTTTCCGCCCGTCACAGGTCCCTGGGGCAAGGACGGCGACGACGTCGAGATCCAGGTCGCCGAGTGCAACAACTCCGTCGTCTTCCCCGGCATCGGTCTCGGCGCCGTCCTGTCCCGCGCCAGCCGCCTCAGCGATGCCATGCTCGTCGCTGCCGTCACGGCCGTCGCCGACTTCAGCCCGGCCCTCAAGGATGCCACGGCACCGATTCTCCCGGGCGTCGACAATGTCCGGCCCGTCAGCGTCCACATTGCTCGCAGTGTCATTCGCGCCGCCCAAAAGGAAGGCCTCGCTACCGAGCGCGGCATCCCCTCCGAAGAGGACGGCGACGACCTGCTCGACGAGTGGATCCGCGAGCAGATGTGGACGCCCGAGTACCGGCCGCTGCGCTATGTCAGAATGGAAGACGCCAGTCGCCAGGCGGCCGGCGTGCGGACCCCGGCCGGCACATACACGCGGCGGGACAGCGTGTAGCGCGTGGAAGGGCGTTTGATATGAGGCTTTGATGACATATGACTGTTTATTCTCACTTTCAAATTTTGTGGCCGGCCCCAGAGTTCAATGCTTGGTTTCGTTCTGCGTTCGATTGTTATTCCTTTCTCTTCTCACAGTTGGTTTTCCATTTGAATGCGTTCTATTTACGACATCGTCTGTAGTAGCCTGAAGTTGGCCAAATGGAGAAGTACAGCCATGGTGGTGGTTAAAATGTAGCGACACCGTTCTATGTAAACATTGACTGTGGAAAGCTGCTTCTTCGCCCACTCAAACACAACGAACCCCACACGTGACCCCCACATGGCAAGTTCCAGGGCTTGTCTCCACCCTTCTGTAATCAGGAGCTTTGGGCACGCTAGTCGCTGCCGTTGACGACAACACGCGAAGAGCATCTCATAACCAGACGACTTGGACGATATTGACGACTTTGGCGACGATCGGCCGCGATGACGGCTGCGACAACGTTTTGGCGACTGTACTTGCGCTCGACGGCCTCTAGCACCGTGCCATCGCTTTCAATTGTCCTTCACCGAGGCTATGGGCCACGCGGCGTGACCTCCTTGTGCTGAGAGTCTCTTCTTGAGACGTCACTTCGATCCTCCTCGCCTTCGCCGACGCACGCCTCACGATGGCGGCGCCGCAGCCGGCGTTCCTCCTGCCGCAGAACCGCAAGCTGCGCCACCTGCGGGGCATCTACCTGCGAAATCTGACATTCTCGCCGCCGCGTAAGCACAGCGTCGACGACTCGGGCGTCGGCCCAGGAGGACAGCAGAGACGGGCATCGCTGCGGAAAGCACTCCACCACTCCCGGTCGAGTGACGACCTGCTGACCGACAGCAATGGATCGGCCACAGCTTCACCGTCCGCTTCAGCTTCAGCCCCAGCGACAGCGACAGCGACAGCGACAGCCACGTCCACGGCCTCTGCACGCAACCGGAGCGCGACGCTGTCTGGGGCCAATGCGCTGGCACGGCAACACATTTTGGAGCAGGTGCTGGACAGCAGCACGGCAGACGCCTTCTTCTCGCTGCACAACGACGGGGCCGACGAGCCCATCTACGTCAGCGAGGTCGCCGAGCGGGCGGCGGTAGGTTTGCCCGTCCCCTTTCGCTGCGAGCAACGCAACCACGCCAGTACTAACAACGCAGAACTTCAATTTTCGCTTCTTCGACCTTGCCGGCTTCGATCCCTTCATCTCACGATCGTCGCAACTGACCGTCAAAGTCTGGGTGCGACGAGCACCACATATAAGTACATCTGCAGCAACATCCTCAGCACCCTCAACAACAACACGTCCGTCCTCGACGTCTTCCTCCTCTCCCGCGTGGTTCCTCCTCCTCGAAGACGACGTCGATCTGCGCTTCCTCGGCTGCATCGGTTCTCTCCAAAACATCCGCTTTCCACCCAACGCCCTCGTTTTCCATTTACTCGATGGCATCTACATGGCCGGCGCACCACGCAATCGGCTCGTGGCACCGGCCGGCGGCGCGCGCAGCAATTTGGCAGGATCACCACCGCTGCCGACGTCGTCCTACAACGCACTCATGCGCCTCGCCAACCTCGAAAACTCACTACAAGACTGCCTGGCCACGCAGGACAAGCTGTCCCAGCAGATCGAGCAGATCCTCGAAGCAGAGCAGCAGGCCGTCGCGGCCGGCGAGCCCGCAGGAGCGGCTCTGCTCCTGCCCGAGGCCGAGGCCGGCCGCCACCGCGCCCTGAAGGGTCTCGCACACCGGCGCCGCCTCAATGACGCCGCGCGCCGGAAACGCGCCGACCTGGCGTCGTCTCTGGCGGCCAGACGGGCGGCCATTGCGGCGGGCCGCGACCTGCAGCATCGCGCCTGGGCCGACGTCGAGCACGCGGCAGACAAGCTGGCGTCGTCGCGTGCCACGGTGCATCGCACGCGCGACGACATTCGCGGGCAGCGGCGGCGCATCTGCGAGGACCTGATTCGCATTTTCGGCATTGCGCGCGCGCGCGGCGTCGACGAGCCGCTCGCGTTCCAGATCTGCGGCATGCCGCTGCCCAACACGGTGTACGGGCCGCTCCTCGACCGGAGCAGCAAGGGGCAGGCCGAGGACACGCTGTCGGCGGCGCTGGGCTTTGTGGCCGTCCTCGTCGCGGCGCTGGAGACGTACCTGGGCGTCGCCCTGCCGTACCGCATCACGGCCTACGGCTCGCGCTCGGTGGTGCGCGACGACATCAGCAAGAACATCCCCGACGCGCAGCGGGACTTCCCGCTGTTCATGCCGCGCGGCGGGCACAATGCGCAGTACCGCTTCGACTATGCCTGGTTCCTGCTCAACAAGGACATTGAGACGCTGTGCCACGCCCAGGGCCTCAAGGTCGTCGACATCCGGCACACGCTGCCGAACCTGCAGTACCTGCTGTACGTGTGCAGCGCCGGCACCGAGGACCTGCCGGAGCGCAAAAAGGGCGGTGTGCGCGGGCTGTGGATGGGCCACATGCAGCGGCACGGCGTGGGCAGCAGCCGCGACGACGTGCAAGACGGGCAAGAAGCAGACGGAGGACATGACGCGCGTAAAGACGCCGCCGTTGTAACCACGCGCGGGCTTCTTCCGACGACCACGCGCACAACGACGCGCGCCACCAACACGACCAACACGGCCAGCAATACCACGGCGACGTCCATGGCGTCCTCGCCGGCGTCGACGCTCCACCTGCCCTTTGACGAGACGACGACAAAGTGGACACTGCGGACAAAAGGCATGCGGGAGAGAGACTGACAGGCGACGAAGACTCTCGTTGGGGGCGGGAGAGAGTGGGGGTAGATATCTGTACATACTAGTCTTACCTGTGGTGGGCCGTTTCGCCGGCCCAAGGCGTTCAATGACAAGCGATTCTTGATACCGTGCAGCTGTCCAATGGAAACCATCCTCTGCCTGTGAGTACTACTCACTCGTGACTCAACCTGGGACCCGACCTGTGAATGAATCATAGAATATTCGTGTCAAGGCAAACCAGCTCTGTCGAAATCTTGGGTTGCGATCTTTGCAAAGTCCCTGATCGGCGGCGAAGTGCTGTCTGATCTCGGAGCATTGCGGTGGTCCTACGCTGTACAGCAAAACACAAATGTACCTTGTCCCGACACAGTCGTGGTTCATGGGGGCGGACGGGACGGCATGTACCATATCTGCATCCCTTGTCACTTAACCTCGCCGCACTATCTCACTCTCTCCCTTGTGGGTGTGTTGTCTCTCCATCCTCTGGCTAATATCAGATGCAATTGAGCCGCGCCAACTGCCGCGGGCCGCGTGCTCGACACGCCGAGGACAGAGTTGTATTTTGCCGGAGATCGTTTATTTTTTTTTGCGGTTTGGTCGTGCATTCTTCTCGGTCGTGCCTCCTCGCCTTGTTGTCGTCACTTTATTTGGTGTCGCCCTGCTCTCCGCACTCTGTCCGATTATGTCAGATTCATGGCATGACGAAGGAGTGCCACAAACAAAGTGTATCCTTACTCTGCTCCCTTGCCTTTCTCCGTGACCTTCTTTTGACGTGTACAGATTCGTCGTCATTGTGTACCCTTTCTGTTTTCCTTTGCTAGCCACTATGTACAAACCGAGCTGCAACCACAAAATCTCCATACATGTGGAGGGCTTCATATGGATAATGCTGCCATGCAGGTTGTCAAGAAATATATATTCAAAGTGCCAATGTGCCCATACAACACCATTACATCACCCTTGAAGCACACATTAAGCACTCTATCTAATCCATATATTTGTATTCCTCGCCATTTATGTTCCGTCTTCTGCCTTCCGTCAAATTCCTTCTTCCTTTTGCCTTCTTCAGCCTCGGGCGGGATCCCATACTCGAGCCGGTTCCCATGAGGGAGCCTCTTCCCTGATGTGCCGGGTAAGAAGGTTAAGAAAGGAAACGGGCGTCGCGCCTGTGCTGCCGTGTTGAGGTTTTCGTGTGCTCTTGTGCTCTTGTGCTCTTGTGCATGTACTCCTGTGCTGAGCTTCCTGTACACCCATACATCGTCTCCCCTGCCCCGAAGCAGTCCGCCGTACCTTTGTCTCGCATTTCTCGTGGTCAATAGAGAGTATATCAGTGTACAGACCCGCCATTCTATAGCTCCGAGCTTGATCTCTCTCTTCTTCCTGAAAATACAGTCTCTCTCGTTGCCTTTTGTTTCTGTCCAACTTGTGTTTAACTATTCATTCTTTTCGGGTGCTGTTCTGCTTCATCGCCAGCTTCATACTTTCTGTTATTTATCAGCGCCAATTTAATTTTTTCTTCCATCCTTTCCGTCTCTGTTCGTTTCACAGCTTCAAAGCTTCAGAGCTTCCTGTCAATTATTGTCATACTTGACTCGCGGAGCGCGCCTTCTGACGTGGCTCCCACCCTCTTTCTGTTTACATCACTGCGCTCGGCTGCACAACGCACAACAAACTTACTCCTTTTCTAAACAAAACAATTCGGACAGTCCAGCTCACCGGCCGTCGCCAAAAATGAAGCTCCTCCTCCACTTCTTGTTCGCCCTCCTCGCAGCCACACTCGCCGTCGCCGCACCCACATCAGCACACCTCCAACGGCCCATCGGCAGTGCAGGACACCACAGAAACCCTGTATCACGACCATCACCCAACAACGCAACGCCTGTCCCATCACACACTCGCCCCGGCGAGAGGCCCAAAGCAAAAGCCTTCCAGCTGCCGTACGTCGTCAAGGCACCCAAGGCCGATGGACGGCACCAACGAACAAGCCGCGTTGTCTTGCCGTCGTGGATGACGCCCTGGAGGAAGGCCGCCTCGACCTTGTCAACCGCTGCGTCTACGTCCGCGTTGCCCGCCGCGGCCAACCGCCACCGCATGCACTTTACACACTCGGGCAACGAAAAGCTGGCCTGCTTTTGTGCAGGCGGGGCGGTCTGCTGCCACACCGCGACAGGACTGGACTGCAACTCGGGGTACTGTGGGATTTAGAAGGGCAGGAAGGACCGAAAGAAACGAAAGGAGAGCTGCACATCCTCGAAAGTCCAAACGTCAAGTGTTAGGAAGGTCGACATGTCGCGCACGCAGGTGCTGCTCGCCTTGCCTCAAACCGAATCGGCTCCACGCGACCCGAAACGAACCGTGATTAAAGACTTTACGAGCTATCACCAGCTACAGTACAGATATCCACCCATCGTCCATCATGATGCTGCACAGACCGGATGACAGACTAGGGTCTGCCTTTCAGGACAAAAACAGCACCGAAGAGCTGGCAGTGGAAGCATCAGGGCCGGTTGACAGGTTAATTCGTCGTGGAAATCGACAATCGCACTCTTATTTTTACAATAATCAAAGCATTCTCAGACACGCTTGGCAGAGCACAGCATACAAACACTGTTTTACCTGTCTCGACTCTGTGTTCTCACCGCTCCCCCGTAGTCACTAATCCTCCATATTTCATGCATAAAATGCAACACTCCACCCTGTCCTCAGACCCTTTCCACCCTGCACGAAAGCACAGTCCAAGAAATGGTCCGAGTGCTAGAAAAGCGCTAGAACGTCCAACACAGCTGTTCGAACGATCCCAGCGCTTCCAGCGCTTCTCGAACGGCAGCATGCCACACTCAAACCCAGATCCATGCCAGACTGTGACCACCGTGACAACTTTGCTGGCCTGATCCTTGGCAAGCCTGCCTACGACGTAAGTTTACCGTATTGACTATTCACGTCGTAAATGCCAAGTGGGCTCTTGGTAAATGAGATGCCAAACGCAGATGAGGAGTCGACACAAAAGCGGAGTGGACGAGACCCTGCGTTTGTCGAGCAATACTGCATACGGAGCAATTACGGCATACTTTATGCACTCCACGCTGGGTCGGTGGCTCGGCCCTTACCAGAGGAGGCAGGACGCAGCTACTTACTGGGGCATGAAGCCCCTGTAAATAGTATCTTAATTACTTGACCGGCGCTTGAAGCACCGTCATCGTCCAGCGGCAACGTCCACCAAACAGCGTTCCGAGACAGTATCACGACGGATTGCTTTGAACGGGAGCAATAAAGAGAATTACTGACAGCACCACGCGCAAATCAAAGTATGTAAAAAACCATTGTCACCCACAATGATCATCGGCAATTGGCGCCGTCCTAAGCTGGCATTTTGTTGGCCTGCAAGGCCCAATGCGCTAAACGAGCTAGAAACGTCATTGGTGTGGGCCAGCCGCTGCCAAAAGAACACCGCTGTAATTACTGGGTTTGGGCCAGGCCTCTCCAAGCACAGGGCAAATACAGCACCCACTCTGCCACTGAAGCCCACTCACGCCGGCTAAAGCTCAGCCCATAGGACCACCAGCATGTCAGCAGTTCCCTGTCTTGCTCGTGTGGGCCTGTGGAGGGCCCTTACTGAGGATCATGATCATTTTCAGATGCGGAATATGTGAACAACTGCCGCTGCCACGACCTTCATTGACTCGTAATACTGTGTGGACAGCCTTGCGACTTTATCTCTTGTTCTGTCCATCGTCCCTTCCTTCGCAGCACTGAGCATCCATTTTCTTCTGCACCTGCCGCTTTGACCGTTCCCGACGACACAACACAATGCCTCTCAACGTCGTTGGCGAGCACTTCTACTGAGCATTCTCGCCGTCGTCATTGGCTTTGCCACTCTCGCCTTGTTGCTGGTATTGTTCACCTGGTCCTCTCTGTGGCCGCTGCGGCCCTTCCGCTTGTCCCGCGCCAAACGCTCAAATAAAGCCCCCAAAGGGCCCCCAGTGGCCCAGAATTACGCCAGAGTGGCCCCACCACAGCCTCCTTCCGTCTACGACGTACGCGCACAACAGCGCAAAAAGAGACACAAGAGGAAAGAGCAACTGGCGGGCAGCACATAGCAAACCCAAACAACAAACCAACGTCTTTTCAAGGACCAAAATCGTACCTTTTGTCAATCTCTTCTCTGTCCATCCGTCCATTTCCATCGACTGTTGCACCACAAGGTATGTGTGTCGTCGTGTCTTTACATGGTCCCCGTGCCCCACGGCTATGACGACTGCGAGACCCATTCGATTCGGTTGCTTACATTCCGGCCCTGAAGGACGTCTCTTGCGTCAATCTCCCGGCGAGACATCGACAGAACTAACATCTACACATTGCGAGGCCCACGCTGTCTCGCGATACTTGCCCAATCCCTGGTGTTCTGTGGCTTGGCATCACACACACAACGACCACGTCGTGACGCAATATCGTGGAGCGGCCCTGCAACTGTAACCCCACCGCTTCGCCTCGCGCCGCAGACCAATCTGGGCCACGGCGAGCCGCCTCACTTTATCCCCGCCGTGCTCATATCTGCTTTGGAACGACCTGGTGACACATTGGGACACATTCGGACGACGACTCGCACGCAAGGACCATTGTGCGCCCTAGATCGCCGGCTTGCGGCCACTCGGTGAGCTTGTCTGCAGCGCACAGGCGTTTCGCTTGAGCACCCGAAACGTCGACACAACGAAACCGGCGAGCCGATTGAACCGTCGCGACCGCCGACCTGGTCCTTCTAGAAGACGTCCACAATTGAGCATGACCACCGTTGCATAGCCTTCTCGACATTGCAGGCCACATATCTTGTTTCCGGCACCCCTCTCTCCCTCTCCCATTCTCACACTCCCCTACCCCTCCTCCACTCCTCCACGCGCTGGCACAATGCGACGGGCACGCGGCCCGTCGCCGACATCGCCCTTCCGGGCCCTCGCCCACCAGCACGCCACCCACAATGCCGCCAACAACGGCGCCGGCGGCCAGGGCGGCACCGTGTCGTCCATGATCCGCTCCTTCAACGTCGAGACCAACCCCACCCGGCCCATACGTCCCAGCCCGCTGACCGCCTCGACGTTCCCCGACATGCCCCTCGACCTCGTCGACCGCATCCGCTCGTTTCCGCTCTTCGTGTCCGCCCCGGACGACTTTCTGGCCGCCATTGGCAAGCACCTGCGCCCGCAGATCCACGCCGCCCACGACCTGATCCTTACAGAAGGCGACGACGCCAAGGCCATGTACTGGCTGGTGCGCGGCGTGGTGGCCGTCACCTCGCGCGACGGCGAGGCCGTCTATGCCGAGCTGACGCCGGGCGCCTTTTTCGGCGAGATTGGCGTGCTGATGGACGTGCCGCGCACGGCCACCATTGTGGCGCGGTCCAAGTGTCTGCTGGTCGTCCTCAAGAAGGAGGACCTCCAGACGGAGCTGCCCCGCTACCCCGACATGGAAAAGGCCATCCGGCAAGAGGCCGAGGAGCGCCTGACCATCCTCAAGAAGAAGCAGCAGGAACGGCGCAACGTGGGCACGAGCGGCAGCACAACGACACCCAGCAGCACACAGTCCGGCGATATCACCGGTGCATCGACAACAGCAGCAGCAGCAGCAGCTGCCGCAGCAGCAACAGACGCCCAGACCGCACCGACAACGACCCCGACCAACAAAAAGAAGCGCAAGTCGCCCAGCCCCGGTATTATCGAGGACCCGGCCGTCGGCGGCAGCGCCCTGGGCAGCGGTTATGTCAATGTGCGCAAAACCCTCAAAGAGCTGCCGCTGTTTGCGACCCTCCCGCCCGACATCCTGCACTTTCTCGGCCTCAGCGCCCAGCCCAAGACCTTTGCGCCCTTTACCGACATCATCTGCCAGGGCAGCCCCGGCAACGACATCTACTTTATTGTCCGCGGCGAGGCCGAAGTCATCTTGGAACAGCCCAAGGCCCGCCTTCCCGAGACCGCATCGACCTTTGCGCGCCCGCGCCTCACCCAGGGTCAGTATTTTGGCGAGGTGGCCAGCTTGGGCCTGTCGCGCGGCCGCACGGCCACCGTGCGCTCCATTACCAGTGTCGAGTGCCTGATGATTAGCGGCGAGGCGCTGGACGAGCTGTGGCGGCGGTGTCCTCCGGGGCTCAAGGACCAGGTCGAGGCCACAGCCCGCGAGCGGTATCATCCGACGGCCGATGGCGACGACGACAAGAGAGCAGACGAGACTCGACAGCCTCCAGAAAACGACCAAGAAGGAGACATTGAGATGAGAGACGAACCAGACGGCGGCTCGCCATGGCGCCCCACGCCCTCCTCGCCCGTCTCCTCGCTCGCGTCGCTCCGCCGCCACTCTGTTCCCAACGTCACCTTCACCACGCCCTCCAAACCGTCTTCACCCACCAAGGCCTCGCAAAAGGACGAGACGGCCGAGACACGACAGCCGAGCGACCCAGATCCGTTCCTCAGCGTCGACATGGAGAACATGCGCAACCGCCGGCGCAACTCGCTGGCACCGCCTGTGCCGCAAACCGAATCATCCGCATCCTCACCGTCGTCTTCCTCGTCACTGTCCTCCTCCTCCTCCTCGTCCACACTCCAGGCTCTGCCAGTCACGCAAGCCGGTGAGGCCACCAACAGCAATAGCAGTCCGCTTAAACTATTTGCATTCCCACCACAGACTGCACCTCCACCATCTGATCAGAAAGACAAGGAGAAGGCGGACAAAGGGGCAGCGAGCATCATTGACGATTTCAGCAGCATCAAGATGCAGGAAGAGACACAACAGAGCCAACAGAAAGAGCAGCAGCAGCAGCAGCAGCAGCAGCAGCAAGATACACGAGGGCCTTTCAAAAAGGCACGCCGAAGCCCCAGCGCCGTCCGGGGCGCCAACGGTGACCACGCATCCCTCGCCGCTACCAGTCGCCAGTTCCCGTCCGAGGCAGCCCTAGTGCTTGTCTTGAAGCAATTCGACTTCCTTGAGCTCGTCCGCCTCGCCGGCATCTGCCGCCACTGGCGCCGCGTCATCACCACGGCGCCGCAGCTCTGCACCCACATCGACCTCGCGCCCTACAACGGCCGCATCACCGACTGGTCCTTGCTGCAGATCGTCGCGCCCTTGGTTGGCCAGCGCGCCGTCGAGATCGACATCAGCAACTGCTTCCACATCACCGACGAGGGGTTCCAGGCCCTGTGGCAGCACTGCGGCCGCAACGTCAAGGCCTGGCGTATGAAGTCTGTGTGGGACGTGTCGGCCAACCAGATCCTGGACATGAGTGAACACGCCACCGGCCTCGAGGAGCTCGACTGGAGCAACTGCCGCAAGGTCGGCGACAATCTGCTGGCGCGTGTTGTCGGATGGGTGGTGCCGCCTGCACCGGCCGCGTCGGCGTCGGGGGCGGCGACCAGCAACAAAATTGTCGCGATTGCCAATTCCAACCGCAGCCGACAGGCCCAGAAACAACAACCGCAGCGCCAGCCGCAGGACGACGCCGCTTCCAAGAAGGAAAACGGGCCCGCCCCGGGCACCATCGTCGGCTGTCCGCAGCTCACCATCCTCGATCTCTCGTACTGTAAGCACATCACCGACCGCTCCATGGTGCACCTGGCCGCCCACGCGTCGTCGCGCCTGCGCGCACTGTCCCTGACTCGATGCACCTCCGTCACCGACGCCGGCTTCCAGGCCTGGGCCCCCTACCGGTTCACGGCCCTGACGCATCTGTGCCTGGCCGACTGCACCTACCTGTCCGACAACGCCATTGTCTCCCTCGTCAATGCCGCCAAGGGCCTCACTCACCTCGACCTCTCGTTCTGCTGTGCGCTCTCCGACACGGCGACCGAAGTCGTCGCCCTCGGCCTGCCGCTGCTGCAAGAGCTCCGTCTTGCGTTCTGTGGGTCCGCCGTCTCCGATGCGTCCCTGCGGTGCGTCGCCCTGCACCTCCAGGACCTCCGCGGCCTCAGTGTCCGCGGCTGCGTGCGCGTCACCGGCGTCGGCGTCGACCACGTCATGGACGGCTGCACCCGGCTGGCCTGGCTGGACGCGAGCCAGTGCAAGAACCTGGCCAGCTGGGTCGCGGCGGGGGGTGTCGCGCGGTGGGGCTACGACGAGCGCCAGGAGGACCCGAGGGGCGGCGGCGCCGCGAGCAAGTACAAGTACAATCCGACCGGCTGGCAGCCAGCCAGCCGACGCACGCTGGGGCTGGACCCGGCTTTCCAGCAGGTCGCCAAGGTGGCGGCGCCGGCACCGGCCATGCGCGGCCAGCGGCGACGGGCACGGCAGCCCGTCAAGTTTATCATTGAGAAGGGGTCGCAGGACGGTCTGCGGTGACGGCGCCATTTTATTTTCTTTTGGTTTATATTTTCATCGTCTATTACGACCATTTGCACATTCTCTCGGGCGTTCGTACGCATCAAGCAGGGGAAGGACTACGCATATACCGGGGCATTAATGTTGTTTTGCAGGTGATACCATTTACTGGCGGGATTATCTTTTTCTTTTTCCTTTTTCCTTTTTTTTTTTTGCAATTGCTTTCTTCTGTGCTCTTGTGGGTTTCTACTTTTGGCCATTTCATTCTTGGAACATATTTTTCTCTTTGGATCGTACAAAGTTCAATATACCCAGCATATTCCCATATGTTTTTGCGGCTATCATATCACCCATACTGACAAAGCAACCTTGGAGAGAGCAGACGAGTTTCCTTGAAGGAAAGCCAACGCTGGTATATTACTACACTAACAATTACCCAAAGAGACACCTGTGCAGCCACACAGCGCTATTTATCCAGATCCAAAGTTTCTCGAAACGCCATGCAAATGCTGAAGCTATCTAAACAAAACGACTCTTTTATGTGAGTTTCTTTTCCTTCTTCCGCAACTACACCTCGACGTGGCGCAGGCCCTTGTTGTACACAGACTCGATGGCCGCGCCGACGGCACGCACAAATACGTCGCTGTCAATGGCAAAATTTTCGCGGTGCCAGGAGGCGCGGCGCTCCAGGCTGCGGGTCCCCTTGCCGCCCGCCGCATCGCTCGTCTCGCCTGCCGACGACTCCTCTGGCTGAGCGGGCGCCTCCGGCGCGACGACGGGCGCCGCGGTCGTCCGAAAATAGGTCACGCCACGCATGTTTGCCAAGTTCCGGAACCCCATAAAGGTGGCGTCCATGTCGGTCGGCTGGATCTCGACGACGGCCGTCACATGCTCCCGCAGGAACATGGTGTGCGTCAGCCCCGCGCCGTGCACGCCCACGAGCACGTCCGTGTCACGAGCCAGCCGCACCTGCTCGGCAAAGGGCACGGCGGCGAAATCGACGGCCGCGACGACGGCCGTGCCGTTGTACGCGGCACGCAGCGCCTCGAGCAGCCGGTCCTGGTCGACGAGGCGGCGCGTGCCGGCGTCGTTGCGGTCGATGAAGGTGACGCGGACGGGGGCGGGCTCCTGCGGCTTCTGGGGATCGACCACCGCGGGACCGTCGTCCATGCCGTAGTGGCTGAGCACCCGCTGCACAAAGACGCGCAGCGTGTCGGACCGCGTGCAGTCGCGCGCCGCCCAGTCGTTCTGCCACAGCGGATTGCTGCCGCCGGCGAGGGGCACGACCATGTGGTGCTGCGTCTCGACGCCCGACGAGGTGTTGTAGAAGGCGCGGGCCTGCGGGTCACTGGCAATCGCGTGGAGACGGACGGGCGGGTGGCCCGACAACAGCTGCCACAGGTCAAAATAGGGCCCGTCCCGCCGGTCGTCCAGTAGCACGACCAGGACGTTGGGCTTGTCGTCGGGGAACACAACGTGCGTCCGCCGGCCAGCCGGGTCCGCCGCGTCGCGGGTGCTGCGCAGCACGTCCATGGTCATGGCCGCGGACCAGATCTCGAGCAGGCAGTGCCACGGGTTGAGCTCGCCCTCGCGCTTGACCAGCAGCGTGTAGTGGTGGCGCTGGACGGGCGGCGGGGGCCCGTCCAGGGGTGCCACATCGCCGGCGCCGACGAAGCGGACGTGGTGGTCGAAAATGTACTTGGGGCCGGTGTCGTACCAGTACTGGCGCACGCGGTGGAACGAGATGACGCCGCGCTCGGTTGCATTGGCGTCGGGCTCGACGACGTCGCAGTGAAGGACAAACTTTTGCGTCTCCGCGTCAAACACGACGCCCTGTGCGACACAGAGCGAGTCCCGCTCCTCGTCGCTCGACGTGTGGCTGTGGAAGCACGTCAGGCTCGAGCGTGAGGCGGCGTCGCAGTACTGGAAGGCGGTGGCGCGCAGGTCCGTCAGGTACTTGCGGTTGAAGCGGTCGTCGCAGAACGGCGAGGCGGGCGTGTCGGCGAGGTACTCGCCGGGGAGCGGCAGGTCGGTGACGGTGTCGGACGTTGACACCACACCAGATGGCAGCTGGCTCGGTGACCATGGGTGCAGGCCTGGGCCGGCCGAATGGCCCTGGATATCGTCGAGTGCCGACGGGGAGAGGTAGAGGTAGCCTAGGCACAGGACGAGAGACGCGGCAAAAATGGCCACGAGGACCGTGCCGCGCACCCTGAAGCCGGGTTGGAGCAGCATATCCGGCGGGTGTGTAAGGAGGAAAACCGAGAGGGGAGAAAGGGCCGGGTGTCTATCGCCGGCATGCAGCGCCAGCGCCGCGCCGGGGGTTGAGGCGGACGTTGAGGCGGAGGTTGACGTTGACGTTGAAAACTAGGGGTCTTTCGGACGCCAAAGTTTAGTGGCCGTTAGGGGCTAATTCGGTGGTGCGGGCGGATCAGTTAGTTGACGTTGTACCGATTGGCGTCGATCAACGGTGTAAAAGAAAGGTCACGATAAAAGGAACACAACACACGAGACACGAGTCGAAGCAAGAAGGAGAAAAACCAGAAACGCGTAACAAAGCAAACGGTAGGTGAAGAAATAACGAATGATGAAGGCGGCGAGGACGAAATGCATTCAGAAAAGAGCAATACGACGCAAGAGAAATACCAGGCGCCAGGCGGACCAACCAGATCTCTGAAGGAAACAGTACGGCAAGCCGCTTCTGGTTTGGCTTTCTGTGTACAACATATTTTCTTGTCTATTTTCATCTCCCTTTTCCATCTTCCTTCTCTTGCGTCTACATCAGTTAGTCCCCGTCTTCGTCAGCCACTTGTCACGGCCGTCTGTTTTGTCTCTTTGACTTTGCATTTCGCTTCGTCCAGCCCCTTCTTTCATCTCCTCGTCTCCTCCCACCCCAAACCCCTGCCAATCAATGCGGTCTTGGAGGCGCCCAACCATATCCCGCGACCCCGGCAACCCTCCCACGGCTCAAGGGCCCATATTTACAAGCGACGAGCTTAAAGTTGCCTAGGGCCTGGCCAGGCCTACCCTACGTCGTACCACTTCCGGCGCTTAACTCTGAGAGCGAGAGCAGCCGCATCGTGATGATTCCCAATTTCCCTTGTGAGCTACAAAATGACAGGCCAGTCCATTCAAAGAGGGCAGTATCTGAGAAGAAAATCAAAAATTCTATAAAAAGACAAGCACTGTCTGCTGTCCACTGTAATCCTGGGCGAATCTGCTGCTGTCACTCACGCGAGTTCTGATATTACGAAAAGGGCATCTTGGCAAGCGACGCATCGTATTTTACAAACCCCTTTTCCATCGTGACACAAACAAAACTTGGCGTCCTCCATTCGCCACGATTCAGCTCATGCACGGATCCGAACAGGGACTCCTGCTTTGTACTTGACGGTTCTCCGGACGCCCATGGCCGGCCAATAAGTGCCACTGTCGAGACGCCCACAGCTGCATATGCTCAAAACACATCCACTTCCCATCCTTGTCGATGCCAGCACATACGGGAGCAATAACGTTCTCTGGAAAAGAGAGACAGGATGCCTTGCCAGGTAACTACGGAGAACAGACGCCATTTCGTGTCCAAACATCTGTCAACATGCAATATCGACCTGCAGACGGCCAGTTTCACCACTGCATTGCCTGTCCGGAGAGGCAGACTGTACGAGGGCAGCGATGTAAACAAACAGAGCTGACGATGGGATAGGAGACAAGCGTGAAAAGCTGGGGGGCTGTAGTAATACTCGTATGGTGAGCAGATTGCTTCCTCGCCCACCTGGATGTTCTGCAGACGAAGTCCATTTCTCCTTCTTGTTCTTCTCTGACTTCCTCTACTTTCTTTTCTGTGATAATTTTATATTGACTGCTCGTTGCGTGCCTGTTTTTTTCTTTCTTTCTTTTTTCTTTTATTTTTTATACATTCTCTTAATTTGTGCTACGACTAAAGCAGTTCACGATCCCTATCCGTATCTCCTGCCTCCATTGTACTACATCAAACCTTGAGAAGAGGTAGCCGTTGAGGCATCAGTCGGTACACTGTGTCACGGTGTCTTGTGTCCCCCATTTGTGTCTGTCGACACGCTTGCGGCCATGGTCGTGCGAGGCACTGCGGCCTTGCTAGCCGGGTGTGCTCTCGCTCTTATCCACATCGACGCTGCTCTCGCCGCCAACTCGTCAACAAACTGCGCTCCAGAGCCGCTGGCCATCACGATCGGCAATGTCACGCTCTCCAACAACCAGGTCGCCCGCGGCCTCAGGCTCAGCATCGGCAGCCCGCCGCAGTCGTTTGCGTTTTTGCCGCAGTGGCCCATGAACAACAGCTTCGTCTACGGCACCGACGGCCACTGCACGCCCGACCTGTCCAGTGCAGCCTGTACGACGCTCCGCGGCGGCGCCTACGACGCGTTCTCGTCGAGCTCACGCACGGTTCCGGCCGCCGCAGCCCATCCCGTGGACGCCGCGCCGTATTCGTCGGTATCGTATGCGGCGGACACGGTTGTGCTGAATGCGTCGTCGGGCAGCGTCCAAAACGCCACGGCGTCGACGAGCCTCACCCTCACCGGCTTCCCCATGGGCGTGCCGCTCAACGACCTGGGCCAGCAGGGCTACCACCCGATGAACGCCGTCGGCCTGGGCTTCAACTCGACGCTGCTCAGCGCCCTCAAGGCCTCGGGCCGCATTGCCAGCCGCACCTGGAGCATGTTCTGGGGCCGCGACGGCGCGGACCAGACGGGGCAGATGGACGGCGTGTTTGTGCTGGGCGGCTACGACAGCGCCAAGGTGGTGGCGGCGCAAAAGTACACGCTGCCGCTGGCGGGCGCGGCGTCCGTCTGCTCGTCGCGCATGGTGCTGTCCATTACGGACCTGGTGCTCAACTTTGCCAACGGCACCAACGCCAGCCTGTTTCCGCGCGCGGCGTCGACGGCGCTGCAGGCCTGCATCACGCCCGACTACCCCGTGCTCATGACGCTACCCGCCAACCCCTACTTCCAGGCCCTGGAGACGCTGACCAACACGTCCATCCC